ACTGGTAACAACAACAGAAGTGACAGTAAAGGTCTAAATCATAATAAATGGTTAATTAAGATAATAAAAATCCTGTAATGCGTTTCAAAGCAAGTAAGCATTTTATTCTTTTCACGAAATCAAGTTCTGAAAATTAAAACCTATGTGTTTTTCTACATTTCTTTACACGCTCTATTATATACGCTTCATTATTCATCAGCAAATTTGTCAGTTCAAAATATTGCTTACTTGAACGTTATCTTCAATTAAGAAAACCATTACAGATGATATGTCATAATCTGTAAATATGCATATGCATTTTCAAACATGCCTAAGTATTTTAAATAGCGCGTTTATTCAGTTTTTTCTCTTAGCGCATAACTTGATATTATAATATAAAAATAATCATACTTAAAAATCAGAATAACATTTTCTAATTATATTGAATTCCGAGTGATAGTACAAAATAAAAAGAAAAAACTTCTTTTTTGAAAGAAAGAAAAGAAAGCATCTTACTCTACTAGATTTAAAAATATTATATAAAAATGGAGAAGAGATAGGTGTGACATTTTACGATGATGATGTGAAAAAAAAAGTACACTTGAAAGATTATAAAAAGATAACTAGCACTAATTAAAGAAATCGTTTTTTTTTTTTTTACTAGGCAATATTTCATTGCTTCGATTTGGATTTTTTTAATGTTTGAAAACCTTAATAGCTTCTTATCGTTAAGTTAATGATAATTATGCTCGGGATTATTAGAGTTTGCTTTATAGTCTCTTTTTACCCCCAAGGAATGCATCAGACTTGTAGTTTTTTTAGGACAGTCCATTTTTGGTATGTATATACATAATGAAAATATATTATGTTATGGCAATTTTCATTAATTTTTAAAATTATAATTTTGATATATTCCTTTATTCTAATTTGATTAGGACTATGGTTGTCAGATAATAAATTGTTTCAATGTGGTATTAAAATTGAAAGAAGCTCCAATTTTTTCGAAATTTTACATGGCATTTTTTATTTCTTTTACCAGTATATCATGATAAAAATAACGATTTTAATATTAACGCGCTTTACAAAGCAGATAAAACCTTTATAACCTTATTTATTAATTTCTTGGAGGCATTAAATATAATCCTTTAAAATATTTCAGTCTCTTTGCTTTCAGAGAGCAGTAAAATGTCTCCTTTCTCTATTTAAAAACTATTAGGCTTCTCAAAGCGGGGAATATAGAAAATGAACTGTGCTTTCCCTGGGATTCGAGCCACGTGCATTGCGCACAAAAAAAAAAATGAGACAGTTCTATATCTCCCGTTCTACTGGGTCGATTGGCGAAATTCAACTTGCATTTCTCATGTCTCCAAAGCGCAACTTAGGATATGTATTAGATTCATATATAGCATTTTTCTAATGTAGGTATTTTTACAAAATTGGACATTTTCCGACATGACATGCCAACTTTTTCCCATATTTCGATTTTACGACTCAAATTTCGCCAAACTGCTAAGTTTTGTAAGTAGTTTTTAAAAAATTAGCACTCGAAATTTTAGCTCTTCAATGTTAATTGAGTTTGGTATATATTTATAAATATATCTTTTTTTATCACATGTATTTGATTATTCCTTTCAGATTTGGAAATTTAGGTTCATTCAAAATAATATTCGCCCATTTTTTTATGATTTATTTTTAAAATTTGTATTTTTAAATATTTTTTACAAATTTTTCGAAAAACATTTTGAATTATAATGTATAAATGTTCTACCATCATCTTAAAGTATATGTATATCTAATAGCATACCTGCAAAAAATTAGAATTTTTTATTCAAAATTTTCGAAGGTATACGTGAATTTTTTATATTCCCGTGTTTTGAAATTTGGCATACATATTGAAAGCGATAATGACATTAAAATCGGTTTAGGCACTTTGCTAAAAGTATATAAACGTAGGAACGAAGTGACTTTTTTCCGCTCATCCACAATGTAAAATGGTAGAAACAATGTGATGTTTTCCCGCTGCTACAGAATGGAAGGGAAAGGAAAGTAGGTTGCCATATATTAAGAAGTTCGCCAAGTGAATTATTCTCGGCGCAAACTGAAAAAGAAACTGGTAGTTCGGTCCGAGGTTCGAATCTCGCGAACGGGCTGGCTGCATGGGCGTTTGTGGTTTTCCCCATGTGTAACGTGTATACGAGCCAGTTTCCCTTAGAAAGTCCTCCACGAAGGCATCCCTCCCCTTAGGCAGATAGCCCTAGTGTGCTTTGCCATAAATTAAACTGAAAAAGAAAATGAGTAAAGTGAAATTTATGAATTTCTCCGTAAATTTTACACCAAATTTTACAAAATTTAATATTTAGTCATAATTTGGGGCGTAGAATCGAAATATGCGAAAAAATGGTATGTTATTTCAGAAAAAGTTCCCATTTTGTGTCTAAATACCTATGTTAGAGCAATGCTATATATAAATCTAATATATATCCTAAGTCGCGCATTCGAGACATGAAAAACGGAATTTTAATTTCATCAATCGGCCCAATAGAACGGGAGAATAGAACTGTCCTATTTTTTTTTTTCGCAGTGTACATTCCAGTTACTAGCTGGACATACTAATCGTTTACACCACAGGAATATACGCACAAGAGAATGAGCTAATTCTTTGCGTTCTGTTCTACGTAAAAGGAGACTGGGGAGACACACACGACCCGGCTGTCCAAATTCAAATAATGAAGTGTGTGTGTGTGATTATGGCAAAGCTTCGAGGGCTATCTGCCTAAGGAGAGGAATGCCTTCGTGGCGGAATTTCAAAGGGGAAACTGGCTCATATACACGTTACACATGGGGAAAACCACGAAAACGTCCATGCAGCCAGCCCGTTCGCGTGATTCGAACCTCGGACCGAAATACCAATGTTCAGCGACTTTACCGCTCGGCCGCTGGTGGGCCTCAAACAATGAAGAGTATCTTCTTCTACCACAGTTAAGTTCTGTTGCCACTACGATCTTATTAAGTCTCATTAAGCAGAACACTTAAAAAATAATTGTGCCTTTGCCGGGATTCGAACTATAGATCTTCCAGTTGCTAATTGGATGTGCTAATCACCGACAGGCAAGAGAAGCAATTTTACTTGAAAGCGGGCAAAAAGGAATGGAAGAATTTTTTAAAGCTTAATAACAAATAAACAAACTGAATTTTAAAAATTGCCAAATTCCCCTTACCTCGTAATAAAATCTTAATAAACTGTACCAGTGTATTCCAAGGGTAGTTTGATGTACTTAAACAGACAGTTTCTCAAAAGGTGTCGAAACTTTTCATGGGAATTTGAAGTCAAATTAATGTAGTTAGTAGGCAGTCAGCAGTTAGCAGAGCACGATTTTAACCCTCATGGCAAATCTTAAAATCATGGCAAATCTTAAAATTGAAACCCTAATTTTTTTATTATTTTCAAGTTAATACTCATTTTATTATATTCATATATCTTGAACTTTACATTGGTATCAAGCTGAATTCCGCATTTTCCTTTCCCTCACAACTGTTGTACCGAAATATCTAATCTGTGCCATTCGGAAATTAGATTTATTTTCTGTTCAAAATCCCGGAAAGCGTATCTCCAATTTTGATTGAAGATATATCTATGTTACCGGCAAAGTAATAAAACGCTGGCATTCTATAGTAATTCTATATTATTCTATTTATAGATTGTCGTATGTTTTTAAATGTTTATATACTTTACCTAGGCATTCTATATAATGAAAAATGCTCTTTAGCAAAGCATTAAAAAAGGATGTTATTTTAAAAGATGTACATTCCTCAAAAATACAAGTGTTATTTTAAAATATATTGAAAGAGTGCCATTAAAAAATGTTTATTCAAAATACATAAAGAAAAATTAAAGTTGCACGAAACAAAATTTATGCCTTTCTTATTAAAGAAAGTAAAATTTTCATATAAAAAATAAGAAATTAAAATTAACTTATTTGTTATAACATGGTAGGCTTGAATGACGTTTTCAGTTCACTTCCCTACTTCTTTCACTCATAAACATGATATATTTCATCATTTTTTTTACGCATACACTTGACAAATCCTTGACCCCTTCCATTGGACTGGGCAACTGCAGCTGACCGAAGAAGAATTTCGGTTTCAGGAATATTTTCAATTCTAAGCAAGTTCTTAGAACATAAAATAAACGGGGATCACGTATATAGTTGTTTTAAAATACTTTTAGAATTTCCAAGTTGGTAAAAACTATCCTCATTCATTATAACGGCCAATAATATATTGCACTAATTATTATACTGTTACGAATTTTATACATACATAAATGATTTTAGTGCAATCATATATGAAATTGTTATAATTTTATGTGTAATGTAACGCGAAAAGTCTAAAAGAGATAAACTATGCCAGAAACGTAAGCGATAAGTCCATTTAACATTGAGTAAATGAGTATCTTGGTACTTTGGCGGGAAATCGCCAAAATTCGCCAAACTTGGCGACCTTTTGGTAACAATTTAGTCCAGTCCCTGAATCACCATAATAGGTTTTGTAATTGATTAAATGTAATTGATCACTATATTAGCTGCAACTGTGATTCGACTTTCATATTGCTTTCCAGTAAATTCGAAAAGCAGAAATGTACTAGAAATATCTCACCCAGCGGTTGAAAACTATATAAGATCAGAGAGAGCATCTGCTCTACGAACCGTAAGCACACAACAATATACTTTCCCTAGGAATAATATAATATGGAATATATAATTTACGGAGATGTATTTTACACTTTGCCGGTTTGTCAATTGGCATTCCATAGAATTTCCAGGCAATGTGTGAAATGTTTAATGTTTGCAATGTGTGAAATGATTAATGTGTGCAATGTGTAAAATGTTGCCGGCTAGTTTTCATCATTCTCTAAATGCCTGGGTATATAATATAATGCCGGATTTCATAGTTTTCCGATAATATTTATATTAAGGATGACTTTTCGAATGTTTATGATTTAAAATATGTTTCCCTTGCAGGAACTTACATGAAATGTCCGCCGAAGTAGATCAGTTGAAACGAGATTATGTGTTCCTCTTACAGTCTTGCATACGCATTACATGCACCGATGGTCCAGAAATGATGGAGTTATACATGTACGGAGAGAAACGGGTAAGATTTTGTATTTCATATTTTATCTAGGTTTGGGGATTAAATTGACGTTTGGTTAACAAGCATACATGTACAAGTTAACTCTAAATGTTATGCCATTGCATTATTGCAAAACAATCATTAGATTGGTTTAAAACTGTTATTATATTCGTATACAATGGTTTTCATTTTTAGAGGAGAAACCACTTCTACCCAAGATAAATCTTAATAGTGAAATGCAATAATAATACCTAATTATTCATTTTAAAATTTTTAAACTTTAGGCTATAGTGAATTACGTTTCTTAATAAACCGAACAGATAACCGATGTATTCAGATTAATACAGCTGAAGCTTATGATATTTGTGTTACTTCTGTGAGTTTTATATTGTCACGAGCACCTATTGTATGATATATAATAATAGCTGCGAGAGAAAGGGTGAGAAAAAAACAGAGTTAAAAACCCTCGGGTACGACATTTTTGCTTGTTTTCTCTGACGCCTTTAGACTTGTTTTAACAGTCTCTCTTGTAAGATTTATAACAACCCTTTGAAAGAGAAAGACCCATAAATGTTTTTCAAAACTAACTTTTATGTAAGTCGTCCTAGAACGGCTCTACAGAAAATATTCGAAGCAAAGTGTTTGATGTTACCAAGAGGAGAGGAAAAGAAACATTTCTCTAGCATATGTCATTGCAATTTATGGTAAATGTAGTAAAGTTATAAATTAGTATTTCACATATATTTTCGTATAAAGAAGCATACGCGTATTTCATCATGATCAGCCTTTATTCTGTAACTCAATTAGAAAATCGGTTTTAGTTAATAATGTCGTAAAGATATTTTGAATACGAAATTACCTTATCCAATAACCTATACAGAGAATAGCTTACTTCAAAATTTGCACTCTTTTTAACTTATTTGTGGCGTATTGTGAACCTGGGGCATTGAAGGAAAGAACACGAACTAATAATTAAGTGATTCAAGCACACAAATTCTGCTTTTCAATGAATAAAATGTTATCATGAAAAGCTATATCGAATATTTTTTATTTATAAGAAGAATATTAATGAACATTTAGTGGCTAATATTCCATAAGCGGGGTAAATTGGCGCCAAATTGTTTTGGTCTTCAAAATTTGGCGAATTTTTTAGGCGGCAATGAAAGCACTAAGATGTGATTTTTAAACCTAAACAGAATAGTAACTTTTAAGTTTTGCAGTAGGTGAAACGCCGTTATTTTTATAAAAGAATAGTAAAATGAGATGATAATTTATTAGAGGAGTTAATAACTTAATAATAATAGTCCAACATCTTTGCAAGTAAAAACATATTCCTAGCTATGTAATTCATCATAAAATAGTAGAATGAACAATTCTTGTAAATAATTATTGAGTAAATAAATATATACACTTATCAGAGAGCACTGCAAAGTGAGTTTTAAACGTAAAGAGAATAGAAAATTATGCTTATTCAGTATAAAATCTGACTAAAATATTCAACTTACTGCTATCGTCCTGGAATTCAACACACTGAACAACTTTCGTTCAAAGCTTTAAATATTCCACATCTATCGATTTCCACATGCAAGAAGCAAACTTAAAAAATAATAATAATAATTAACTAAATAAAATTAAATGAAAACATTCATAAATTATAACTTCACGTCATCTGAAATCCAACTTATATATATATATAAAATACTAAACAGTAAAACTTTTAAAACACAAACACAGTATTTCAAAATTAAATTTAAAAAGAAATCTTCTGTCTACACTAATTTCGCACTCTTACAATTACCGAAATAAAGCTCTAGGTTTGCCACAAGACAACATACGGCCGGAAACCACAATCAAATTGAAATCGCTCTAATAAAAAACTCTCGCCAAGTTTGGCGCCAAGCTAGCGCCAAACTTGGCGAGAGTTTTTTATTCCCGATTATGGAATATTAATTTAAAAAATTCCCGATTATGGAAATTTTTAATTAATTTAATTTTTTAAATAATTAAAAAAAAAATTTTAAATTAATGGAATATTAATTTAAAAAATTGGAAATATTATTAAATTTAAAATTTTTAATTCCCGATTATGGAATATTAACCAACATTTATATAGTATAGTCCACTTATAGTATTATTATCATATTCGATTGTGATAAACCTCAACTTTTGTTCAATGTTTATGCTTTTTTTTAGTCTTTTATAAAAACTTTGATTTTGCTTTTGCTGTGCATTCTTTTCCTTTAAAATTTTCAGTTATAGTTTTTCCGCCTATATTGTAGCAAACATGAAACTTCAATATTAACGCTAGAGTTAAAAATATACAACGACTTACGATTTAGTTTATCTTATTTATTATATTCGCAGTACATGATTGTGCACTTTAGGCATGCATCTACGTAAGCCGTTACCGCGGTAACGGCCAAAGAGACATATATATGCAGAAATTTTAAGTAGTCAGCGTAATACAAGAGTTAATCTAAATGGGAGATGAAACTGCTCAGCAATACATTACACATTACTCAGCAATACATTACACATTACTCACATTACTCAGCTATACATTACACATTACTCAGCAATACATTATACATTAAGTGCTGACTTTCAAACTATGTTACAAAGTAGTGTTTGATGCAATTTTTGTTTATCGTTTACATTAAAACTGTAATCATAAATATTACAAATATAAAAAATAAGTATAGTTATCCATAAAATATATTGATTTAAATCAATATGCTTTTTAAAAATCTATACGATCTAAATTACGTTTTGAACACTTAAATTTCGAAATGAATTTCGAAACAATACAAAATTTACAAAACGTTCTGACTGCGCTTTTTTTTGTTCTAAGATCCCGAAATAAACTTAAAATGTATATTTCTGAAGATATTAATAGAAGATACTTAGAAACTGATCATGTCTTAGCAAGACATAAAAAATTAAGAAAAAGTATCCAACTTCCTTTTTGATTGCTTAATGGGCTGAAATCCTTCTTTTGTTCGTAGATTCCTTATCTATCGAACAGCGACACCGTAGACTATACTGAATTTGAGTTCAGCTCCAGTAAGAAAGTTGAAAATGGTCATAATTCTCATCGTGTGGCGATTGCATATTTATGTGGCATTATGTTACGAAATTATATGAGAAAGAGAATGAGCATTACAGAAATCGCAGCACCCTAAAAGCACATCTGTCGTCCACCGAATAATACATCCGAGCGCAAGGTAGTTGACTCACGGCGGGGGACTAATCGCCTTCAATTGTGATCACTGCTTGTTCTCTCCTCCTGTGTGCAAACAAGAGGACTCTCAACGATTCTTGAACTTTAGCTTATCTGCTTTTTTCATTAACTTTAGCCACTGCTTTTCTCTTATTTAATTCATTTTTCTGAACGATGATGTGGAGGTTATTGCATTTAATTGCAAAGGTACCCCGTAATTCAAACGCCTTGGTCCTTGGTCCGAATAATACGAGCTTGCTGAAAGAAAAGCGAGGTTTGTGAGATGACTACCTATGACGTCAGTGCTTCCTCTGGCTAATATTAGTTGACTAATTAGGATACTAAATATGAGCTCAACTAGTCAGGATACTAATTGTATCCATGGCAAACCACAAAGATAGACTAAGTTGTATTTTGGCTAAGAAGAAATAAATCTGTATAAAAACTTAAAACTTAACTGTTAAGAAATTAGCATTATTTCACAACTGTTCTTTAAGTATTAATGTTGTAAGTACATATTGTCCACTTTGTATTTTTTGTTTTTATATTTTCAGCATAAACAACGGGTTTTTACTCTGTTAGAAGAAGCTCGAAAAGTAGATCCATCTTTGCCTAACTTGGAAGGGTAAGAATTTATTTTACAAATCTTTTCCCCTCTCCCGAATGCCTTTTTAAATGTAGAAGTTTCAAATATTTCTCCCACTTTTATCAATCTTTTAACAACTTTTATCAACTTCTACATTTAAAGTTATTTAGTAAGTGGCATTTAACTATCAATATCGATGTTTCTCTAAATACCCACTGGCAGTATTTAATGCAAAAGTTCATTTGAAAATTGTTAAAATTTCCACATGTTAGAGCAGGTGAAGATGAATGAGCGGCAGATCATACGTCTCGCCCTATACTGGAAAGTGCTAAGACTTAGCGGAAGTTATTGTTTTTGCTGTTCATGTTCATATATGGATATTTGTTTTCGTGTATGGACGCCATTTTTAGTTTTCGGACCGTCTGCGTTGTAAAATGTTAACTTTAAGTTTATGACCAATGTTACGTATTATTGGAAGATTTTGAATTTGCAGCCATTCTACTTGATTACCAGTACGTATTGACATAACCTTTGTATTTTTCAGCAAACCTTTAATTTAAATTCTGTTCTTAAAGTAGTGAGGCGAAATGAGGTATCAAATAGTTTTTTCCATGATAGGATTTTTTTGCGTAAGTAATGAATTTTCAAATGCAGGTATTTTTGTTTCGTATGGTTCAAAGCTATTGTTGCGTTCTACGGGTTCGTGGATTTGGAGTGATTGATGACAACACTTGATGAAGCACAATTTATACGTCAGTATTATACAGGACAGTTCCGAAGACGCGTTACAATCGTAGAGAAATTACGACAAACTCACTGAAACAATAGTACAGTTTCCGGACTCGGCCGCTCGGCTGAGGAGCTGAAGGCATTACTACTGAACTCAACGTACTCTCAAGATAAACTGCTACTCCAGGTACAGGTAGGGTATTTATAGCTTGTGACCTTCCTTCGAGAACATTCTCGGAAAAACTGGTAAGAATTTGTTCTCGCATCGTCTATAGCATATGGCCAATTTGGCCTTTAAAACTGTTTAATAAAACAAAATTGAGATTTTAGCCGAAATCGGCCTTTTAAGCGAGGCCGGTTACTTTCAGTGAATCTTTACAATGGCCTTGTTTTGGTTCCATGTTGACTGAGCTTATATTTGATTTAAAACATTATTCTGATAAAACTATGATTTGTTTTTAATAAAAATAATAAGAAAAAATATTAAAAAAACTGAAAGCTTTCAGATTTTAATGGTGACCCAAAAGGGTTTCTTAAGGTTTCTTACGCTCCCGCTTAGCTCGCTGTCTACCAGGCTGCTGCTGCACTCACTTCTGTTAACCTATTTTTTATAGTCTTTTTAGCTGTATTATTAAATACCATTTTCTTCGAAATTGCGCCATATACAATTCAACGGCAAAATCAATTTTAAAAGCAGCAAAGCAGCATGTATTTAGAATTCCCGATGCAGTATTAAATGTTGGTATACATTTTTCTACTTTTCTTCAGCCTTTTCTCAGTTCATAATATCGATGTTTAATTTTCATAGTAAGATAGCATATAAAACGTATTTTTATCTTTTTATTATTAACGTTTTGTATGTTAGCTTTATTTATTAAATATCACATGAAACAGATAATAAAGCAAATTCAAAATTCCAAATTTGGCTTCCAGATTCACATGCTGGAGTGAAGGATTACGTTATTCAATGTTTTTTATTATTTTAACAAGAATGTTTATCCTTTTGATATCTTTCCAAACTATATTTTCATTTTACTAAAGCAATAGTTTCTCAATGACTTGAGTTAATATTTTAGTTACCGTAAGAATTCTTCGTTCAAAATATAGCCCCAGTTTCGTTTCCTTTCCGTCATCTTTTTTTTTTTTTTTTTTTTTTTTTTTTTTTTTTTTTTTTTTTTTTTTTTTTTTTTTTTTTTAATTGAAGCATTCTGAAAAATATGCCTTCTTAACAATACTTCCCTCAAAGATTACTTCTTTATTATCTACATGAAGAACCTTTACTTCTTTTGCTTCTTCATTACTATTGATTAGTATGATCTACTTGAGCTCAAACAGATTTAAAAATTCGAAAACATTTTACTTTTCAGCTCCTGGTGAAGTGCAATTGGAGCTGGAATAGTAGATATCTTTTGGTAGAAATCCTTATTGCAGTTAAGGGCAACATTAATCTTTCCTGTGCAATATGCGTTTGTGCTCGCCATAGCGCGAGGATAAAAACTTGAACTTTTTCGCCGACACTTAACTACTTACTTCTCATCTTATTTTGCCTGTTCTTTGCAGATATCTGACTTCGGCTCGTGTGAGTTTAATATTTAAATCTTTAGCCTATCACTAAATGTGATTTTCTATTTTAAATCTATATACTATAAAGAAGAAAGCCTATGTGTTTGTTCGCGATTAACTCAATCATTACTATAGCTATCGTCACAAAACATTCTACAGTTATTTTTCTGTGTCCTGGGAAAAGTAGATAAATAATAATAATTTTTCAAAATAAATAAATAAATAAAAAATCTGAAAGGTTTCAGATTTTAAATTACGTCCAAAGGAGCGTTTCTTTAACATTTTGTGTATTACCTTTATTTATTAAATATCATATTCTTTGCACTTAAACCATAAAATTCAGTTCAATAGCAATGTCTCAAAATAATTTTAAAATGAGCCAATCTTTAGAATTTCCGATACACAGTTCCGCGAACTGGAGATAAAAAGGTTTTTTCCCCGCACAGTGTTGCCATTGCTCGCTTTCAAATCACTAAGTTTGTTAATCAAAAATTCGTTAAAGTTTTACAAAATATGAAATCGATCATAAAACCAATTCCAAATTTCAAATTTGGTCTTCCACATGCCCATATTCTTAGGAGGATGACGTCATTCAACATTCGATGGCTTTATGTACCGTTGTTTTATCACAATGCGAGAAATATGCATACATTTTTGCAGATTTTTCATTATTTAATTTCTTCAAATATAATGCAGGACTCTAACATTTAGTGGCAACAGTTTGAAAAGTGAAACGGATATTTATAGTGTTTCAACGCAAAATCGCAAAACGAAAACAATAGTCCTTCAGGGAGAAAGCGTCTTTGGACTAAAAAAAAAAGCTAAAATCAGAGATGTTAATTAAAATCTCTGAAAACGCTAATTTTCACCCACATTTCTCCGAATGCCACAATCTCGCACACAGGAGATAAAAATTTGCTTTATTTCGAGAAACGTTACCACTGCTCGCTTTCAAATCGTAGAGTTTGTTAATAAAAAATTCCTAAGTTTTACTATGAAATAAAAATAGAATTGCAAAATATTATATATATTATTCCGTATTCCAAAAACTCTTCGGAAGCCATTTTCGTACGTATGTACGTTTGTTTCCATCTTCGTACGTCTTTAATCAGCCCAGGTATTAATTACAAACTCTGCAAACACTAATTTTCGTATTCATTTTTCCAAATGGCAACAACCTCGCGGGTTTTAGATGAAAATGCTTTATTTTGAAAAGTTGCGCTACTTTCGGGTCGTAGAGTTTGTTAATCAGACATTTGTAAGTGTTACAAAATATATATATATAAAGAAGAATGTCTGTTTGCGTGTTTGTTTGTTTGTTTTTTTGTTTGTTCGCGTTATTAATTTCTGAACAATTTTTACCACATTTAATCGACTAAAATTGAATATAGGTGAAATATTAGATGGAACGAGCGTTTACGACCATTTGATTGGAAAGACGAAAATCATTAAAAACTGCATGCCATTGTTGCTGATGTAATGACAGGAAATTAGTTTATTTTTCTATGTAAATTTTTATGTGGTTTCCATATCACATCAGATTGAAAAATGTATGACTACGAATCGTATTTTTTGCATCGTTATTAGAAGAAGGATCACAGCGCTATCGTTCTCTCTGTTGTTAGATACATTAATTTCAATCTAATTAAACTGGCATCGGGTACTTCGATTAGTGTTAAATAAAGTTGGTTTTAACTGTTAGCAGGAGTTTGTGATTCTTAGGTTCTTCTAACGACCTTCTGATGGAGTCTAATTGCGATAAAACATTGTTATATGCTAACAAATATCAATTACATTTCGGCGAAAACTTTAATGACACGGTGATCTTATAGAGCAATCCACGTCAGTAGGAGTCGCATATTTTGATTCAGGAAAGTTTCAGAGCTGCAACTAGATTTTCCAAAAGCCCCAAAGTCCATATTTGCGTCAGTTTAAAAATAATACAGATTTCAAATGGAGAGAAACATATGATAACTTTATAAATTGAAATGCAATAAATTAATTACTTTATTTAGGACCCTGAGTAGCTTTAGTTTACTATATCTCATATATATATTTTTGTATAAAAGCCGCGCCGCAATTCTCCTGAACCGCTCTACGGCCACCCCTTGTACACATACAAGCAAAACATAGATCTTAATATGTAATGTATAGTATTTGATATAATTTATACTCCTGTTTTACTCTGTAGCATTCGACGTGACATAGTACAGAATATAATCATTGCATAGCGATATATGTTATGTCGCTATGCAATGGTTATATTCTATATTATGTCACGTCGAATGCTATGCCGTCATGTCTATGCTGAGCTATGTTATGTCGCCATGCAATGCCCTCCTGTCGTGTAGGTAATGCAACGCTAGGTATTTTATGTTGTAAACATGTTATGCTCTAGATGGAGCGGGTCCCGGACGCGTAATGGCAAACCGCACATTGAGTTGAATTTGACTTACTGCGCATGCCCAAAAGAGAATTTGGTGCAGTTACTACTTTGGCACAATTTTAAAAGAAGATAAATACGGTATATAGTTGATGTGTTATCTTGGGCGCAAACAGTTCGAGGTTTTAAAACGTGTCAGGTTGTAAGCTGCTTCATTACTTGGAGTGTGTATGTCGATTGTAAACTAGCCAAATTTTCTTTTAAAAAGGATTACAAAACAGGAAATATTACAAGATATATTAGCTGATTATACTTCTGAGGAATAAAAACAATTGAGTATTTACCATACGTTCCATTCATATAT